TGAAAAACCAAGTTACAAACAATTAGATATCTATAATAAGCATAATCAACATTAGAATTCTTTAATAAATAAATAATGAATAGCATATATAAAGTCAACATCAATATATAATGGACATATATAATGAACAACATCAATAAATGTCAAGCAAACCAAAGGAAAAATAATCAGGCTTTTCACAGATAAGGAAACATAGTGGCCAATAAGTATATAAAGATATGTTCAACTTCATTAATAATCAGGCAAAAGCAAATTAAGCCTAAGATGAAAGCTATTTTATAGTCATTTAGATGGGAATAAAATAAAAAGATTAGCAATACCAAAGAAGCAGATGTGGAATAGCAGGATTTTATATGATTTTATATATTGTTGATGGAACTATGAGTTTTTTTTTTAATGTTTAACACAGATTTTAATGAATTTATTTAGGCTATCATGTTGACGATACCCCTTTATTTTCTGGTTCATGATAATTTTGAAAAATATTAAGAGTAACAATATTTTTTAAGTTTTCACTTAAAATGGATGAGATTGAAACATTAAAAAATAAATCGTCCAAAACGCATTCACTTGAAAAATCACATTTGCTTTAGTATATAGTTTCCTCAGTTTATATGGTAAGAAAAAAGGCATTGAAAACTCTAAAAAGCATCTATAGCATTAGCTTAATGTACAGATATGTATTGCATTCTTACTGTGTACAATTCATGTGGTTATGTCTGCATATTTGTAAAAAATTAAGATAACACATGTTTTGTTCTCAAAGGATTTGTAAAACAGTGGAGGTGATAGACAATTGAGCAAGGATATCAAACTGAAAACAGAGGTAGAAGAAATATGACTAAAGTGTTTAACACAGCGTGATAATGCAGGCCTGCTTTATTGAAGCAGTATCTTTTAGGTCATTTTGGTCTGTGTGTTGGTCATCCATGTTTTGCCTTTGAGCTCTAAATTCTTATTTGCCCTGCTTTGGGGCGCTTGGAGCTGGACCCTGTAAATAATTATCCTTTGACAGCTGGCACAATGCTAAGTATTGTCAGTAGAGGGTGCTGGAGAGACACTGCCCCAGGAAGATCCTGTCTTCCGGGTTCTGCTGTGCTTCCCCCATCTTGCTCCTGTGGTGCCTGACTGACAGCCCTGTGCATTGCACCAAGTGACAACTGTCCTCACCCCGGTAAAGGCTTCATAGCAAGTTTCACTTTTCAGTGGCATAAAAGTGGATGGCTTCCCAGAGTCTTGCTGGCCACCCAGTGCATGGTTTTCTGCTTGCCATTTGGCCTGGGCCACTTCTGTGAAAGTCTCTACCATCTAGCTGACCAAAGCCACACTCTCTTCAACCAGACCTACCTGACACCCTGAGAGGGTGGTGATTCTTATCCAAGTTTGTTCCTTCTTTGGGGTTCACTCCAAATCCCTGACAACTCATTTCCCTTGCTGTGAGGAATTCTGATTTATATCTATTCACTGCCATCATTACTTTTCTGATATCTATGCTATTCATTTTATTCTGAAAACCCCAAACAATCCCAGAGTTTTTTTAAATTGCATTTTAGGTTTTGGGGTACATGTGAAGAACATGCAAGATTGTTGCATAGGTACACACATGGCAGTGTGATTTGCTGCCTTCCTTCCCATCACCTATATCTGGCATTTCTCCCCATGCTATCTCTCCCCAACTCCCCACCCCCCACTGTCCCTCCTCTATTTCCCCCTGACAGATCCCAGTGTGTGATGCTCCCGTCCCTGTGTCCATGTGTTCTCATTGTTCAACACCCACATATGAGTGAGAACATGTGGTGTTTGATTTTCTGTTCTTGTGTCAGTTTGCTGAGAATGATGGTTTCCAGGTTCATCCATGTCCCTATGAAGGACATGAACTCATCTTTTTTATGGCTGCATAGTATTCCATGATGCATATGTGACACATTTTCCCTGTCCAGTCTATCATCGATGGAATTGGGATTGGTTCCAAGTCTTTGCTATTGTAAACAGTGCTGCAATGAACATGTGTGTACATGTGCCCTTATAGTAGAACGACTTATAATCCTTTGGATATATACCCAGTAATGGAATTGGTGGGTCAAATGAAATTTCTATTTCTAGGTCCTTGAGGAATCACCACACTGTCTCCCACAATGGTTGAACTAATTTACACTCCCACCAACAGTGTAAAAGTGTTCCTATTTCTCCACATCCTCTCCAGCATCTGTTGTCTCCAGATTTTTTAATGGTCACCATTCTAGCTGGCATGAGATGGTATCTCAATGTAGTTTTGACTTGCATTTCTCTAATGACCAGTGATGATGAGGATTTTTTCATATGTTTCTTGGCCTAATACATATCTTCCTTTGTAAAGTGTCTGTTCATATCCTTTGCCCACTTTTGAATGGGCTTGTTTTTTTCTTGTAAATCTGTTTTAGTTCTTTGTAGATTCTGGATATTAGCCCTTTGTCATATGGATATATTGCAAAAATTCTTTCCCATTCTGTTGGTTGCCGATTCAACAGACTGTTGAATGACTAATGACTGTTTCTTTTGCTGTGTAGAAGCTGTGGAATTTGATTAGGTCCCATTTGTCTGTTTTGGCTTTCATTGCCAATGCTTTTGGTGTTTTGGTCATGAAGTCTTTGCCTATGCCTATGTCCTGCATGGTTTTGCCCAGATTCTCTTCTAGGGTTTTTATGGTGTTAGGTCTTATGTTTAAGTCTTTAATCCATCTGGAGTTAATTTTAGTGTAAGGTGTCAGGAAGGGGACCAGTTTCTGCTTCCTGCACATGACTAGCCAGTATTCCCAACACCATTTATTAAACATGGAATGCTTTCCCCATTGCTTGTTTTTGTAAAGTTTGTCAAAGATCAGATGGTTGTAGATGTGTGGTGTTGCCTCCGAGGTCTCTGTTCTGTTCCATTGGTCTGTGTCTCTGTTTTGGTACCAGTACCATGCTGTTTTGATTACTGTAGCCTTGTAGTATAGTTTGAAGTCATGTAGCATGATGCCTCCAGTTTTCTTCTTTTTGCTTAGAATTGATTTGGCTATGTGGGCTCTCTTTTGGTTCCATATGAAGTTTAAGGTGTTTTTTTTTCCAGTTCTTTGAAGGTCATTGGTAGCTTGATGGGGATAGCATAGAATCTATAAATTACTTTTTGCAGTATGACCATTTTCACAATATCGATTCTTCCTAACCATGAGCATGGAATGTTTCTCCATCTGTTTGTGTCCTCTCTTATTTCATTGAGCAGTGGTGTGTAGTTCTCCTTGAAGAGGTCCTTTACGTTTCTTGTTAGTTATAGTCCTAGGTATTTTATTCTCTTTGTAGCAATTGTGAATCGTAGTTCATTCTTGATTTGGCTCTCTTTTTTTTTTTTCTTGAGATGGAGTTTGGCTCTTGTTACCCAGGCTGGAGTGCAATGGCGCGATCTCGGCTCACTGCAACCTCCTCCTCCTCGGTTCAGGCAATTCTCCTGCCTCAGCCTCTCAAGTAGCTGGGATTACAGGCACCTGCCACCATGCCCAGCTAATTTTTTGTATTTTTAGTAGAGACGGGGTTTCACCTTGTTGACCAGGTTGATCTCAGTCTCTCGACCTTGTGATCCACCTGTCTCAGCCTCCCAAAGTGCTGGGATTACAGGCTTGAGCCACCGTGCCCAGCCAATTTGGCTCTCTTTAAGTCTGTTATTGGTGTGTAGAAATGCTTGTGATTTTTGCATATTGATTTTGTATCTGAGACTTTGCTGTAGTTGCTTATCAGTTTCAGGAGATTTTGGGCTGAGACAATGGGGTCTTCTAAATATACCATCATGTCATCTGCAAATAGAGACAATGTGACTTCCTCCTTTCCTACTGGAGGGAACTATGAGTTTAACAAGTTAACAAGTTAATTTGGCATGGTCTTGTAAAATTGATGAGCCAGCAATTTCTAGTCCTAGATATAAACCCTAGAGAAACTTCTTGCAAAGTTTGTAAAGGAAACATAGACAAAAATATTCATAGTATGTCCACTGTAATAAAAACCTGGAAATAATCTAAATGTCCACTTATAGAAAAATGGATTGTGTTATGTTCTTGCAATAGAATATTATATAGTATTCAAAGTCATGAAACTATAGCTACAAACAAAAACATGGATCAATCTTAGCAATGTAATACTGAGTGAAAAAGGAATCCCAAAAGATTATATGAATAGGATAGACTTTTATAAAGTCAAAAAACACTAAATTTAAAGTTTAGTTGACCCTTCAACAACACAAGTGGCACTACGTGAGTCCACTTTTATGCAAATTTAAAAAAAATACATTAGAAAGTTATTTGAGATTTGTGATAACTTGAACAAACTCATAAACTGCTTATCCTTGAAATATTGACAAAATTAGGAGGAAGTTAGGTATGTCATGAATGCATAAAATATATGTAGATACTAGTCTATTTTAACATTTACTACCATAAAATATGCACAAATCTTTTATAAAATCTAAAGTGTATAAAAACTTACCCAGAAAAACATTTACATACCATACATGGTACCATTTACAGTTGAGAGAAATGCAGCATTAAATCATAACTGCACAAATTAGCTGAAGTAGATACTATACTCTTGTAATAACCTTTTAGCTTCTTCCTGTTGCTATTACTGTGAGACCAAGTATCGTTTTTGCTTACTAAAGGTAGTGTAATGCTCATTATCTCCATGCGAGCAATTTATCTAAATTTCTATTGTTTAAGCTACCCAGATTGTGATGTTTTGTTACATAAGTCCTAGCAACCTATTAATAATACAGTCAGCACTTGACAAATGGCAGTTTTAAAAAAACTAGTGTTGGATTTGTGGTCAGCATGGATTTGAATTCTCTGTGCTACGGTTTCTTCATTTGCAGGGCAGAATGAATAATCTTCCTTGTAGTTTGCTGTGAAATTAAATGAATTAATACATGTAAAAATCTTAGAATATAGACTTGAACTTTTTTTAGTAAGCTATCTTACATCTGCTTGATCCTTCCCTCAGCCTGACTACAGAGCATAAGCAAAAGAACAAAGCAAGAAGCATCATGCTACCTGACTTCAAACTATATTACAAGGCTACAGTAATCAAAACAGTACTGGTACCAAAACAGAAATATAGAACAAATGAACAGAACAGAGTCCTTGGAGGCAACACTACACATCTACAACTGTCTCATCTTTGACAAACCTGACAAAAACAAGGAATGGGGAAAGGATTCCCTGTTTAATAAATGGGGTTGGGAAAAATGGCTAGCCATGTGCAGAAAGCAGAAACTGGACCCCTTCCTGACACCTTACACTAAAATTAACTCCAGATGGATTAAAGACTTAAACATAAGACCTAACACCATGAAAACCCTAGAAGAAAACCTAGGCAAAACCATGCAGAACATAGGTATAGGCAAAGACTTCATGACTAAAATACCAAAAGCATGGGCAACAAAAGCTAAAATAGACAAATGGGATCTAATTAAACTCCAGAGCTTCTGTACAGCAAAAGAAACAATCGTTAGAGTGAACTGGCAACCAACAGAAAGGGAAAAGATTTTTGCAATCTACCCATCTGACAAAGGGCTAATATCCAGAATCCACAAAGTACTAAAACAGATTTACAAGAAACAAACAAACCAACCCATCCAAAAGTGGGTGAAGGATATGAACAGACACTTTTCAAAAGAAGACATACATGAGGACAACAAACATATGAAAACATTCTCATCATCACTGGTCATTAGAGAAATGCAAATGAAAACCACATTGAGATACCACCTCATGCGAGTTAGAATGGTGACCATTAAAAAATCTGGAGATAACATGCTGGAGAGGATATGGAGAAACAGGAACACTTTTACACTGTTGGTGGGAGTGTAAATTAGTTCAACCATTGTAGAAGACAGTGTGGCGATTCCTCAAGGACCTAGAAATAGAAATTCTGTTTGATCCAGCTATCCCATTACTGGGATAATTCCCAAAGGATTATAAATCATTCTATTATAAAGACACATGCACACATATGTTCATTATGGCACTGTTTACAATAGCAAAGACCTGGAACCAACCCAAATGCCCATCAGTGATAGACTGGACAGAGAAAATATGGCACATATACCCCATGGAATACAATGCAGCCATAAAAAACAATGAGTTTGTGTCCTTTGTAGGGACATGGATGAATCTGGAAGCCATCATTCTCAGCAAACTGACACGAAAACAGAAAATCGAATACCGCATGTTCTCACTCATAGGCAATTGTTGAATAATGACAACACATGGACACAGGGAGGGGAGCAGCATACACTGGGGTCTGTTGGAAGGGGCCAGCGGACGGACAGTGGGGAGATGGGGAAGTTGGGGGCGGATAATATGGGGAGAAATGCTAGATATAGGTGACGGGGGGATGGAGGCAACAAACCACATTGCCACATATGTACCTATGCAACAATCCTGCGGAATCTGCATACGTACCCCAGAACCTAAAGTACAATAAAAAAATACAAGTAATTGATATGTGCACACTGTTTTTATCTACTGAATACATCTCCTTTTAGTTAATGTTTCATAGAGTATGTTTTACACATTGCCTACAGGAGACTTCCAAATGTATCTCTTTGATTATTTTATTGCTCAACAACTTTTACTGCCTTGTCCCTGACAATAAAATAATTTCTATATGATCTGTTCTGGGATTCAAAGCCTTCAAAAATCTAGATCCTCACCACTTTTTCATCCATATTTCCTACTACTCTACTTTCTACTTCAAATCCTGTTACTCATATAACTTATACATACTTAAAAGTGTTCATAAATACTTATGTTAACTTACTTATGTTGACTCATTCTTTCCTAGTTTTCTTCTTTGATCCAGACTTTTCATTCTACATGTAATTCTTTCTGTTTCTGTCTTCCCCTGACTCCTTTATTAAAATTCTACTCATTCATTAGGTTTCAGTTTATCTTTGGAAGTTTTTCTGAAAAATCTAAACAAAAGTGAATTTTGCTTGCATGTCTAAACTTTTGTTACTATAATTATTGACTCTAAAGAGTTGTTGAATGAGGAAATGCAGGAATAGCTGGTTAAATGGATAAATGAAAAGGTGGATGGAGGAATGGAAGGTTGGGTAAAAGGATATAAGCACACAATATCACAATATAAGCACATCTGTATTTCCCATCAACTTAAAAATATCTTTACTTGATAGGTACATTTGAGAAACATTTAAAAATTCTGACTGTTTGCTATTAAAAATTGAAACTGTAAACTTTTGAAATGAATTATTGCAGCTAATGACCTAATAGTATTTTAAAATGTTCCTTTTATCTGTTTGCTGGTTGAATATACTGGCCAATACTGATTTTGAAATTAGGGCATCTGCTTTATTACATGCCCTATTGCCTGAATCAAAATTGAGAACTTATTTAAAATATTGTCTTCCTTAAATTACTTAGATTATTGTTAGTCTTCCCTAATATTTGTGAAACTGAATGAGTATATAGAGAGATAGATGCATATAAAATAACACGATAATTTTCTTGTCTGACAAGGACATTGGGAAGGTTAATTTGTGTCTGTGATGATTTCTGTCCCTCTTGATGAAAAGATACCATGCAAATACAGAGAACAGAATAAATAATTTCATTAAAATAAAAAAGGTTATATTATTAGTGGCTGTAGTTGGATTAAAATAAAATTGTTTCATAAGGGAGAATACCTAAAACATTACTTCTAACCCTGAGGCATGATTTTCAGGACAAACATCTTAACCCAAGGTGTTATGGTGAACATGTTTTCATTTGAATGTGATCATCATTTAGTCATAGAGTTATGGACTTAACTCTAATGGACAGACAAAAAGTATGGAGAAAATTATTTCTCTCTCTCTAATATCCATGGGTGCCACATTTAATTGTCTACTCAGAATTGATCATTAAGGCACTTCCTGTTGATCAGGTGCATTACTAAACTCTCAGGTTAAACTATTTGACATAGAAGTTACATGATCTATATTTCACTTTCAGAATTTAGTCCTCATCCACCTATACTTAGAGATAACAAACACTCTTTCTGTGCACACTGTATAATGGCCTCTTTCCAACAACATAGGCAATACAGAGTATGTTTTGTAGTTATTTGGAAGTTTAGGAAGAGAAGAAAATTAACATTTTCTGAGCATCTGTTATCCATATATAGTCTGTATTTTATTAACTTGAAAAGCTCTCAGTGTCCTCATATTAGGCATCTCTGTTATTAGATGTACCTTCCTCTATCATAGAACATATTTTACTGTATTATAATCAGTAGTTTAAATGTCTGTTTTCCCTACTAGAGGGTAAGCTCTGTGAGGGCAGAGGCCACGTCTCTGGTTCATTACTGGATCCTTATTACCTGGCGCAGTGGATGGAACATAGTAGGAACATAATTAATATTGTTAAAGAAGGAAAACTTTTCAATCTCACTTCATCTTCAAATACTTGTAACTCTCTGCACTTTAAACTGGCAAAGCTAATATTTCTAAGGATTGTAAAAATTAAAGATATTTTAAGTTTAAGACGGCATATTGAAAGTGCAGCACATATTTCCCCTTTCTCAATACCTACTCACAGGAGCAAAAACTAGTTAAAACTCACATCCACATAGTCACAACAACAGCCATCACCACCAGAAAAGGAAATGGGCAAAATTGGATGCAGCAATCTTGAAAAACTAGCGGCCAAGGAAAAGAAAAAAAAAAAGGATACAGGGTGGAATAGAAAGGCACAGCACAGTTGGCTTCTAATGGCATCCAGCCCTCCTTACCATTATCTTGCCAACACTATTCCCCTTATATCTGATAAAATCTAATATGACCAAACCCAGAGAGATCCCCACAAATGAATGGGTAGCCTTATGTTTTCTTATTATTATTAATGGCTACTATAAATGGCTGATGGAGTAAATAGTGAGGCTGACTCTTTTTGTGAAAAATGAGGAATGTTAGGGAAACGATATGTAATATAACATTAAAGTTAGGAGAAGTCAATCCTTGGACAGAATATTTAGCAAAATCTCAGAAGACAAAGTGATCAATTTTACTCTAAAGACGCCACATCTGTGTAGTTTAGTTTTCCTCCTGCCCCTTATATTCCGCTAAGAACAAAAAATATGCAGACCACAACCGGTAGATGGGGACAGAAATAGGTGGGAAATAGCACCAAGAAATCATCCACATATGGGAACAAAAGGAGTTCCCATGCAGAAATCCTTTTCTTCTTATAAGGAAAACAAAAAGGAAAAAAAAACGAACATGAAATCTACCAAACTACTGCAACAAAAATAAATTACAGGTACAAAAAATAAAAATTTTAAAATAGAATTAAATCTAACACATGGAAAGAGAAACATTAATGCCATATAGAATCAAGATCTTCAAACTAGAGTTTCTGTTTTATCTTTCTTCCAACTAGAGACTTATCATCTGGGGCACCAAAAAAGGACATTTGGAAATATCAATGTCTGCAAATTGCTGTTAATTAAATTCCCCATAACCTGTGATAGGGCTTCCTGTCTTTCCATGTCTTAAGCATATTCCTATTATGGAAAAATCGAGGTACTTTAGATCAATTATTTTGTCTAATAATTCCACATTCTGAATTCATGTATGCTTTAGAATGAAACAGTGAGAGTGATGTCAATTTTTCATGAATGATGTCACAACTTTTTATCCCTTGACTATTATGAAAAGTGAATTGCTACTGTGAGAGAAAAACAAAGAAAGAATCCATAAGAAATATTGGAGGTATTTGTACTTATCTTATCCGGATTATATACTCATGGAAATGCCTTATTCTATCTACCTATTATTTACTTTGAAGATGTAAGATTATTTTTGTGGAAAGATATATTAATACTTTCATTGTAAATAAAAATTAAATGAGACTTCTGAAAGAAAGTAAATACAACTTTCTGATGGTTTGATAATAACTGTCTTTGTCAATTAGGCTACTTGTGAACATTTTCTATAACTTGAAGTGGGCTAATTTCACTCCAAAATTTTGATAAAAATAAAAATATTACAACTTATTATATTACTAAGATGTGATGGAATAACATATATCAGACTTGCTTTTATGCTACTGGCAACTAAAAGATTGAGCAAAGTCATAAAGCAGCTTTTTTTGGACATTGAACAACAGTCAACATAAGACAGTGACCCTGAAACAAATAAAATATATAATGCAAGTTTTATTGGTATTTAGCTTTTTGCTTAGCAGAAAGCAAAAATCTTAATGGGTGGAAGAATGAAACATTGGCTCTTACAGTTGCTAAGGTGGGTGAAATTTGCAGGGTAAAATACTAGATATGAGAGAACTGTGTGGAGAAGGAACTCCAATAATCTGCATAGGAAATACTACCTGGTGTTGTTGAACAATAAGATACATGAGTGCAGGGTGAAATTTTATGAGGCTTGGCAGCAACTAAATATTTGTGAGCTTCATAGAGACTATGGAGTTTGCACAGTTTTGGGTGACAGTGGAATTTTTATCAGCTAGAGCAAAAGGACCTTGCTGAACATGTTAGTCATTGAGCTGACATCCCCCAAAATTCATGCCTTATGACGAGGGCCATTCTAGCCTTAGATTTAGACATCCCCTGAGAAAGTCTTCTTTAAAGACCTTAGGATAACACTATGTGCTAGTGAATTAGCTCCCTGCCAGAATGAAACTTATCACTGATGATGTCAGCAATGTAGCACCTACAATAGCCAGCTACTTTAAAAAAAATCACTAGATTTGCAAAAACCAGGAGGAAATAATAGTCAATAGAGATTGGTGACAGCAATATTAGCATTAGCAAGCAAGGTTGTTAAAATGCTATTATAAATATGTTTAATAATGTAAAGGAAAAGATGGCCTTAATGATTGAATAGTTGGTAGAAAATCTCAGCCAAGAAATGGGAAACTTCAAAAAGAACCAAGTATATATTGTAGATCTTAAAAGTATAATACTTGATATAAAAAGTTAATGGAATGGGCTTAACAGCAAAGTAGATGCTGCAAAAGAAAATGTCAGCGTACTTAAATTGGTGCAAAATATACTATCCACAGTGAAGTACATAGAGAAAGACAAACCAAAAAAAAACGTCTCAATAACTTTAGGTTCAATGTCAAATAATCTAATAGATGTATAATTGCAGTCCCAACAGGAAAGGTAAAAAAAAAAATTGTAATATTTTTTGGTGAAATAATAGTTAATATTTTATCAAATTTTATTAGAAATATCAACCCACATGTCTTAGTCCACTTCTGCTGCTATAACAAA